CGCGATTTTTGACAATTCAGCGCAGCTTGCGGCCAGCAATCACCTTATCGGTGCCCTTGTGTTGACCACTGCGGTCATCGCCTGTGCCGAGGTGGCGCGGCCACTGAGATTTCTCAACACCCTCTTCGGCTTCTGGCTGATCATCGCGCCATGGTTGCTCGACGGCGGAACGGTGGCGGGTGGTCTTGTCGGCATGGTAGCCGGGGTGCTTCTGATCGCACTTAGCTTGCCGCGCGGACGGCGCAGCAAAGAGCACTATGGAAGCTGGGACAGGTTCATCTTTTAGATGCCGCTCAAGGGGCACGGTCGCCATAGGGGGCAAGGACCATTGGCGCGAAAAAGTGTTGTCACGTTCTCGGGCAGTGACCTTAAAAATTCAAATTATCCGCTTGACCTTCCAGTAGGTGGAACTTGTAGTTTCCCATTCGGACAAGAGGATTATCGGCCATGAACATCGGACAAGTTTCAGAACAGAGCGGCTTGCCTTCGAAAACGATCCGGTATTACGAGGATATCGGCCTCGTGAAACCATCAAGACTTGAGAACGGATACCGCGATTTTGCGTCCAACGACCTGCAAAAGCTGGCTTTCCTCGGCCGGGCCCGGTCACTTGGGTTCACCATCGAGGATTGCCGCACGCTCGTGTCGCTCTACGAGGATCGGGAGCGTTCAAGTTCGGAAGTGAAGGCGATCGCACAAAGCCACCTGGAACGCATCAATAGTAAGATTGCAGAGCTGCAGGCGCTGAGCTTGGCCCTTCACGATCTCGTGAAGAGCTGTCAGGACGATGATCGTCCAGAGTGCCCGATCATCGACGGTCTAGCTCGCGCTGAAATCTTCTGATGCGTCCAATTCCGACCATAGTCCCTTGCTACGAGTACACCTTGTTGAAAACCCATCGATCTGCACTGTAAGATTGGAATGACGACGCTCCTCGCTCGCTTGATACTTGCTGCCGTCCTTGCCGTTTTCGCGGCGAGTTCGGTCGCCTATGCAGCGGGCTCGGCGGAGATGTCTGCCGCCATGATCGCCTCCGACAATGCCGCAATGGGCATGTCCGATTGCGATGCTTGTGGCGACGCCGATGCAGACCAAATGGCCTTCGCGTGCAACTTCATCTGTGGAGCGGTCGGTTTCGCACCTTTGCTTGTTCCGCAGTCGCAGGGGATGTTTCAGTCTCCTCGTCAGACGCTCGCTCCAGTAGTGACCCCGGATTTGCACGGTCTTACCGGTTCCCCAGCCAAACAGCCTCCTCGAACCCTCATCTGATCTGACGCCGGACGCGCGAGCTTAGCCGGGAACGTCACCTCGTGCCTCGGCAACGCATGTTCTCCGACGCGCGCAATCCTGTCCTCACCGCTTGGAGGCCTACTGGCCCGGCGGTGGACCGAGAGTTTGATGAGGAATAGTTATGCCCTGCCACTCATATCCGGCGCTCTCGCGCCGCATGTTCGTCCTGGGTTCCAGTGCTGCACTCGGTACCTTGGCACTACCGATGGCTTTGCGTA